TGATTCTCTGAACTACTCAAAATTTCCGCTACCGGTTCTCCGGAACTGGTCAGAACCTGCTGAATACCACCTCTGGCCTAAATGTTACAAGCACAATAAAAACCCAGCTTTATTCCAAGGTTCTATAGAACCTAAGATTTGTAATCTAGAGATTCTCTTGGAAGCCAGCATACCGTTGGTCACATCCCACCAACTAAGAGGTACATACATTGTACTGATAACCATTCAGGATATGCCATTATAAAATAAGTACTTGAAGTTCCTCCAGTCTTCTGTTTTGATTTTCAACATCATGTTGCTTTTGGCTCCTTAGAATTCCTCACTGGAATGAATCAGCATTGCTAACATAGAGCCCTGTTAGTTTTCCTGCATCTCAGCAGAGGTACAGATGGGCAGCATATATGCTTAATAATTTAAAAAATAAATAAATAAGGGAATGAATTCAAAAGTACTGTTGATTAGCTCTGACTTGTTTTGAAAACTGAGATGGTATGCTACTTTTATAAAGAGAAAGAAGAATCAATTTCTGCTTACATATTACTATTAAGACACAAATGCCAGAAATCTATTTGATCAATTCTAATTTGACATGCGGCGTTTGCTTGTTCTTACCAGTCATGACAAAATATGCATTTAAAAAAAAAAAAAGAATACTTTATTAAGTCTTTCATTCTAAGAACATCTTTAAACTATACTCTGTAAAAAAGATTCCTTTTTTAAAAAAAACCCTAGATAACCCTGGACCCTAAATCCTGAATATTAATAGGGCACTGCAAATCAGTTTTGATTCAGTTTTGTAAAGACTTTAGTCAATGGTGGGCTGCAACCGGTTTAACAACTGGTTCTGTGAGCGCACGCTTTGCACGCACCCAACGCACTTGCACGCAGCATTCAAAATACAGCAATTTGAAGCTTAGCTGCTTATCTTCTAAGGCAGCCCCAGTGTTGTGACCCAGGCCCAAGTAGTTGGTATTAAATACAAACAGTTTGAAAAAAAAAAGTCTTTATTAGAAAGCTGAGAATTAACTCATTCTCAGCATAAACCAAACTAAATTAAAGCAAATTTTTCAAAACACCATTCCTCAGTTTATCACTGACCTTGGGATAATTAGGCAAGCTGCCAAAGGCTTTTCTTGGCAAAAGTTCAGAAGCAGAAGACGCCAACAAGAAATGAATACAGTGAAACAAGAAGCAGTTCTCTCAATGTTGTTTTCCAGCAAAGAGGCCAAGAGCCATTGCTAGTCTTTTAAGCCTTATGGGAGTTGCCAATAATCTTTTGGCCCTACTCCCAAGTCGTCCTCTCTGCTTTATCTGCTCCTGCCTTCTGGCAGCTCTTCTCATATGTGCACTAGGAACAGGCTCCTCCTGTTCCTCTACCTCTTTACTGTCAGCTTCTGGAGGCTCCAAAGTCCGCATATCACTCCCCGATGGCCCTGGCCCCATCTCTGCCTCCGATGCAGAGCCTTCATCTGGGCCTTACCCAGCCTCCAGGACTGGCCCATGTTCAGCCTCCAGGACTGGCCCATGTTCTTCCTCAGCCTCATTGCTGTCCGACTCCACTGCCAGCTCTGCAGGCTGCTGGTGGACCACAACACCCAGTAAGTAGAACAGTGGAGGTGCGGAAATCAGCTGTGCTATGCAAATCAGCTGAGCCGGAAAGAAGGAAATATAGGACAGGATAGGCAGGGTGGGCAGGGCCAGCTGATCGTCAGAACTACCAGTTCATCTGAACCAGTCTGAACCAGCAGCAGCCCACTACTGAGTTTAGTGCAAGCCAACCTGATTTGAACCACTTGGACATTTGGGCCACTCTGACATTTGGTAAAAGAAATTATCCAGTAGATAATGGGGAGCAGATTAAAAGGACTGCAGCTGCTTTGTGTGTTTGTAGAAGGGAGGGGCAGAGTCAGGGGTGAAATCCAGCAGGTTCTGACAGGTTCTGGAGAACCGGTAGTGGAAATTTTGAGCAGTTCAGAGAATCGGTAGTAGAAATTTTGAGTAGTTCAGTGAACTGGCAAATACCACCTCTGGCCAGCCCCAGAGTGGGGAGGGAGTGGAGTTTTTGCAATATCCTTCCCCCAGGAGTGGGGAGAGAATGGGAATTTTGCAGCATCCTTCCCCTGCCATGCCCACCAAGCCACGCCCACAGAACTAGTAGTAAGAAACTTTGAATCCCACCATGGCAAAGCCATGTCCACCAAGCCACACCATGCCCACCAAGCCATGCCCACAGAACCGGTAGTAAAAAAAATGGATTTCACCACTGGGCAGAGTGGAAAGAAAATGGGGTTGATAGGGAAACACTTGGAAACATTTGGAAAACACAACCATCCCAAATTTCAGCCAACCAATTTTCTTAGTTTTGCTGCAGTAGATAAATGTGTATGTGTGCGTGTAATATTCTCTCTGCATCTTTGTAAAGTCAAAGATTGGAAAAATAGCACAATTGTTTCTCAAGTACTGTATCAAGAAAAAAAACTTACAGAGAAAATTTACTGAATTATTACACACAGAGTTCCACTTCAATTTAACACACACACACACACACACATTTTTAAAAAAGTCACTCTTTTCTGAGGAGCTGGGCTTAATTCTGAAGAATATCCATTAACTTGCCCTTGTGGGGTGAAACAGTTTTTCTGCATCTGGTTTGCCAAGAAAGTTGGCATAGCTTTTTGACAAGTTTGAGCACCCTTGGAAGGGATCTTTGGTTGAATGCCAGGCTTGGCAGTACAAAATTTGGCCAGAGAAAGAATTTGGCATCAGATAATGGAAGTTTAAGCCTTACCACCCCCTATCCTTAAAGCTGTAAGCACTTAGGCTGGCTAACACCTGTAATTCTTAGTTGGCACACTTTCAGCTATTGTAGAAAAAAATTGACCTGTCCTGGTTATGCAGAATTTTTTTAAAAAAGTTGGATCCAACAGTATATACTGAGTTGGCCAGCCTTAAAACCATATACAGAGTTCTCCAAATAGAGATGAAATATCAATAGAGAAGAGAAACTTTCTATTAGTACAAAAAAAGAAAAAGAAAAGAAAAGTCACATTGAATAAGTTTGAACTTGAAAAAAATGAATTAATTCACAAAAATGATAGTTTTGCACCCAAGATAGGCTTTGATAACCCAAGAACTTAAGTTGATGAAATGCATTAGTCAGCTCCTCCTTTCAATGTAAGACAGCCTACGACATCACTAAATGTCCATCTGCCGTATTCTTTGTATAGAATAGTGAAGTTATGCATCGTATATTGTCTGTAACAATCTCAGAAGCAGCAGAAACCGTGCATTGACTTTGCAAAGTGCTTTGCAGTTCCCTTATTTAATTTGTAGCATTAAAGTGGTTCTGCTTTGATATGCAGTTTGGCTTGGCTGGGACGATTCATTCAAATCTTCACTTAATCAAAGCATCCTTTTGAAGTTGTGCATAGCTCTCATTTTGATAGCCTTTTCTTTAGTTCACCCTGTTAACATATTTCGGTCTTGATTTTTCACAGCATAAGCAAAATCCAAGTCAGTACTCAGTTCTCTTAATGAAATGTTGTGATTGGACTCAGAATTGAATTGATGAATGTTAATTTCAACATGAGAAAGAATGATGTGAAATTGTTAAAAGGTATGCAATTTCTGTAAGAATATAAGGGAAAATGGGCTGATGAGGAAGGAAAGAGCAACTTTCTCATTCATTAACACCAAGGAACATGACACAGGGTAGTGGTAAAATTCTCAAAGACTACAGTTGTTTATTTGTAAGTGAAATTCAGTGTTATCATCAACAATTTTGATCAACACTTTCAAGATGAGAGCTATAGTGACTCATTCTTGTCAACATATCAATCTCAGCTTTTTCAAAACTTATTTATGTGAATTTTTTTACATGAATATAGTGACAATGAGGAACAAACCATTCTTAAAAAATCTCAATAGCTTTGTTTGATAATATCTACCTTTTTGTCCTTTTGTCAGAAAGTTTTCATAATTGTCCTATTTACTGGGTTTTAACCTATTTCTTACGTGGAATACAAAGAATACATAATCACTTTGTTTTTTAATTTGAATACCAGTGTTGGTGAAAGCAACTATGCTTGCTCACTCAGTTAACTGTTTTCAGATGTGCTCTTTTGTTTCCATTTCTATTTAACACTTATTCACAAGTTTTAAGGGTTGCAGACAATTTTGGGAACATGTTCCACTTCTCAATATACATGTACAAATTTTCACTTTTAACAATCTATTAAAAAAGAAAATGTATAGAGGAATACAATTCCATAAAGATCTTTTTTGTGTTATCATGCATATATTGAAGAAATTACATGTTCATTGCTTCATCCATCACTATATGTATGTGTATTTGTTTTATTTTTGAGGCCATTAATTTTAATGTTAACATGCTCATCAGTAATTTGAAACAGTCTTGCCTTTTAGGTTATTAGGCAAAAAGGAATCTTGATGATTTTAACAGATATTTTAATTAATTACTTTTACAATATATTAAAATATAAAAGTAGTATATTAAGTGGTACAAAATTTATAAGATTATAGCATAATTTTAAAATAAACAGTACTGGAATTAACGTTAGGAATTATTTAAATTAAGCTTGATGGACGGCAAAAAAATTAATTAACCTAGAATACCATAACAAAATGAAAATGGAGCCTTATATTGTTCCCTAGCTTCCTTTTAAGATTCTATCTAAATAGCCATTTTTTGTAAATTAGTAAAAGAGGAAGAGAGAGGACAGAAAATATGTAACAAATCAAAGTGTGGAAACAGACTGTCCTGCACATATTGCACCAATAGATAATGTGCAAAATAACTTGAGCTGCCTTCTTGAACCTAGGCTTTGTCCAGAGGGTCTAGAGCAGGGGTCCCCAAACTTGGCAACTTTAAGACTTGTGGACTTCAACTCCCAGAATTCTCCAGCCAGCTATGCTATGCTGGAGAATTCTGGGACTTGAAGTTCACAAGTCTTAAAGTTGCCAAGTTTGAAGACCTCTGGTCCAGAGGGATGTTTTAATATGAAGTGCAGATGGTTAATTAGCAATTGTGTAGAGTCTCCAGATGACCTCTTTCTGAAGTAAGCAGTCCATGTTTTATCTCCCTTTTCTGTCTTTTATCTCAATAGGAATAAACAGAGGAACCAGAAACACCTCATGCTGAAACATGTGGGATGATTCCATGGATTTAAGCTATTAGATTTTAGTAAATTGGCTTTTGTGTTAGCAGTGTTATTTTCTCTCCTTGGTTCATTCCAGCCCACCTTGGTTCCTTCCTCATCCTGTAATGCACACTGTTTTTGTATTTCTGTTGTATATGAGCCGCAGTGGCACAGTGGTTAGAGTGCAGTACCACAGGCTATTTCTGCCGACTGCCTCCAATTTGGCAGTTTAAATCTCATCAGGCTCAAGGTTGACTCATCCTTCCATCCTTCCGAGGTGGGTAAATGAGGACCCAAATTGTTGGGGGCAATATGCTGACTCTGTAAACCACTTACAGAGCACTGTAAAGTGGTATATAAGTCTAAGTGCTATTGCTATTTGGTAGAACTTAGTAAGGCAAGGCAAGAAAAACACAGTACAGCATAGTATTGTATGTGCGGGTGAGCTAAGTCAGCTACAGATCTGCATAAATACTGCCAATTCTGGAAGGAAAAATGGGGGAGAAGAGAGAGTGAATTGAATAATTCATAGGAAAATAGATATCTGCTTGATTTGCCTAACATCTAAACAGAGAAATAATGGGTTTTCCTACAGTAAAATATAAGACAATAATAGCATGCCTGAACTTTCAAAAGTGTGGAAACCAATTCTTATCATCCCTCATTAAACATGATCAGTGATCAAAATGACTGTGAGGCATAAAAGGCCAGGTGTACATATTAAGGTTTAATTAAGCTGATTTATTGCTAAAAGCCCATTTATAGGAATCTTCTCAACTAACTATCAGCACCTGCTTAGAGTTAGATAAGGGTAAATGGCACTCAAAGGGGTTTACTTGTGGCTATTTAGGGATTATAGGCTGATCCCCCTTTTTACTCTTCCCTTAGGTGCTGCCATTTCTTCTACAATGACAGGAATTAGAGTCTAAGGTTCCAATTTAGGACAAGTTAGTTAGGACAGTCTTTGCTTGCTCATGTATACATTTCCTAATTGTATAACCTGCAGGGAAATCTCATCTTATTGGACCTTCATGTAGTAGACCATGCATAGCAGACATAAACTGTGCTGCAAATTACAGAATGTATTGCATTTATATGTTCCTGAATCAACAATTATTTGGACTCGGCTTCAGCCAATTTTTCTCCATCAAGGGCCTATATCTTCCAGACTCCAGGTAAAATCTTTCACAGTATGGTCAGCATGGCAATATGGTAATGTACAAATGGGCCATGAAATGTGCATCCATCAGTGTAATAATGATACTGCACCACAAACTAAAGAATTACTTATTCCAGTAGCTTCCTGTATCTATTAATAAGATCATCTTGGTCATCCAGAAATTGTTTATCCTAAAATGTCCCATTGTAACATCAGAGTAGCTGGTACAAGGATTGATCTCTAAATTATAATTCTGATTTGTGAACAAAACAAATGGAACAGCTCTAAATTTTACCACCAAATCTAATTTCATTTAAAAACCAAGTCTTTGTTTACCATTACTAAAAATTATTTGTTTTCATCTTAATCCAGGAGTAACATAGATAGCTTTAACTTTTTACTCTGGATAGTTAAAAAGAATGTGAATTCATATCCATTTTTTTTAAAAAAATATTTATTTCATATTCTGTGTTTATTATTTTTATGAGTAACTCAATGCAGTGAACATACCTAATACCCTTCCTCCTATTGTTGCTAAAACAATGTGACATGGGTTGAGCTGAGAGAGAGTGGCTGGAGTAAAGTCACCCAGCTGACTTTCATACCTGAAGTAGGACTAAAACTCACAATCTCCTAGTTTCTAACCTGGTGCCTTAACCACTCGACCAAAATTATATATTAAAATTAATTAATAATTGTATTAGTAGTATTATTTCAGACTTTACTAAACTATATCCCCCCCAATTATTTTTTTTAAAGCTAAAAAATTAATACTTCAATTTTTATTGAAATCTGAAGGTTAAATACTAACTTAGAAAACTTTTTGCCCAAGTGATTTTATAAAAATTATTAATAAAACTGAACTACATGGAGAGTGTTCAGGGAAATGCTTAAAGGCAGCAATATATTCCACTTCTTCTAACATTCCTTACTAAGTTTCATAACCTTAGACATTTGTGGCAGATTTGGTAGTGCAAACATAATAAAATAAAGCTGCAATAATGCTAATATCCCTTTTCCCTCTTCTTGTTTCCTTCTTAAAGACATTTTATGTAATAACCCCCTGGAAGGCATTTATACACCATCAAAATTGCATGGACTTTAAGCAGACTGCAGATGAGAATTTATGTACAACTTTCTTTCTTCTCTTTTTCAAAATCAGGAGGGAGAAAGGATAATGATTCAGGTTTGTTTAGAGGTTCCAAAAAATATTATGCAGAAGATGAACATGAACCATACCTTAATATTATGATATGAATACATTTATAAACAAGTTATATTCTCTATGAAGAACCTGTTCTGATGCAAGAACAATATGTTCCCTACCACTACTACCTTACTGAACAATAGTGTATTGCTATGTAGGAGAGGCATAGCATTAGCATTCTACATTTGGATCAAAGGTGGTATTCAGCAGGTTCTGACCAGTTCTGGAGAACTGGTAGTGGAAATTTTGAGTAGTTCAGAGAACTGGTAAATACCACCTCTGACTGGCCCCACCCCCATCTATTCTCTGCCTCCCAAGTCCCAGCTGATCCGGAGGAAATGGGGATTTTAGAGTAACCTTCCCCTGGAGTGGGGAGGGGATGGAGATTTTACAGTATCCTTCCCCTGCCACACCCACCAAGCCATGCCCACAGAACTGATAGTAAAAAAAATTGAATCCCACCACTGATTTGGAAGTATGTATGGGGCTTGAGGGGAAATGCCAGTGTCCTCATCATGCTCTTCTTTCTGTGAGACCCTTTTCTTTTCTCTCTTTCTCCTCACACAGCAGCCAGCAAGGGAAGGAACAGATTGCTTTTGTCAGAAGTTTAAATTTCTGCTTGATAAATTGATTTTAGAATCAGATCAGGGGCTGCATGAAATTAGGCTGTGGACTGCATCAGATAGTACGCATGTAGTTTGATTGAGTGACAAGGGTACCACAGTCATCAGTAGGTTATGAATGATCTAGACAGAAATAGAAAGACCTGGTTGCAACATGCATTCTTGCTTTTCTGCATTTCATTTTAGGTTGCTGCACTTTTCCTGTATCAGTGGAATACAAATATAATCCCAGCAAAGTATGTCTGTACTACAAAGGTAGTCCTCAAGTTAACTCTTTGTTTAACAATGGTCTGGAATTATGACAGCCTCAGAAAAGGTGTTCATAAAGCACTTCTAATCGCATAATTTTGAACCACTTCTCCACTGGAATGTGACTAGAATCTGAATGCTTGTAGACCTGTTTGAACATACAACTGGTCGTCAAGCACCCTTTTATTCAGGTAATCGCCATTTGGAATCTTCTTTGCCAGCTTCCCCAACAAGTCAGTGGAGAAGCTGGCAGGGAAGGTTGCAAGCTGCTGCTACCTGCCGAGAGGACTCCCTTTCATCTCTGGGAGCTGGCTGAAAGAGCTGCCTGCCGATGGGGCAGAATTACTTAAAGGAGGTGCTGGGACTTATCTCAAATCTTGAAGATTTAAGTTCTGTTGCTGAACCCTGCTGGCGGAATTCCATCCCCTGCACAGAGATGAGCTGAACTCCTCCAGTGGGGTGTAGAAACAGAGTTCAAATCCCAAAGAATAGCCTTCTTTGTCCAGTTGAGGGGTGGAAAAGGGAACTCTCTTTCAACCAACTTCCAGAGACAAGAGGGAGCCAAAATCCAAGCAGAGGGGCAGTGCAGTAAGGTAAAGAAATGGTTCCTCAGGCAGGTGGGGCGGCCCAGTGCAGGCCACCCATGACTGTCTCTTCACTCAGGGGTTGAAAATCCTACTGAGTAAAATCTCCCAGGATCCCCCACCCCTGAGGTACCCAGGCACTCCATCTGCTTAGCAACCTGTGAGACTGCTTAATGACCACAGCCAGGAGTGTGGGGATAGTGTTCGTTGAGTGATGCAGTCATAAGACATCTCCCTTAACAACTGCTTTACTCAAGATTCCGATCCAAATTGTGGCTGTAAGTTAAGGGCTACCTATATAATAATTATACTGACAGTTTGCTGATTTGTAAGATATCTATTTGACTTGGTTACTCAGGTTTTACTCAAGTTTTAGCTGTGCTGATTGATGTCTATTTTACTACTAGAAGGATCTCAGTCTTAATTCCTTTGCTTGCTTCATACATACAATGCAGGGTATGCAGGTTATTATAGCTTGTGAGCCATATTGGGCTCTGCATGGCATGTTAAGAGCCCCAGTGTAAAAATTCAAGTTGCATTTGTGGTAGGTGTTTCCTTTTTCTTTTTCAGATGTGCTTTCAGTTTTTACAAAGCTTAAAGTTGCTTCTTTAGACATTTTCCCACCTTCACCCCATAGCATGGGTGAGTTCTACTTACCTTTACTACCGGTTTGCAATGGGAGCACGCACACATGCGCAGAAGCTTCTGCACATGCACAGATCATCAATTATGACATCCGGGCAGGTGGGCGGAGCCTCCCGCCACTTTTACTACTGGTTATAAAGAACCGGACAGAACCGGGAGCAACCCACCACTGTCCCATAGTGAAATGTTTTCCTCCGTCTATTCATAAAGACTCTGTGAGCCACAAAAGCGGTACCAGCAGGTTTCACTCACCTGAAATTGCTGTTATGCAACTGACAGCTGTCATTTTGGTGTCATCATAAATGTTCATTCAAAAAAGTTGTATTGATAAGTGCCTGTTTCTGCATTTCAGTTTGTTAATATAACGTGCAGAGCATAAACAAAAAGATATAAGGAGGGGAAACTGGGCTTAGCTATCACAGTTGGAACTAGCAACTTTGTCACTAAACACTGAAGTCACTAAACTAAACATCACCAAACCATAACCATCTTACCCTGTCACTATTGTTGCAGTCATTGTTGCAGCGAGACATCATATGACTGCAACTGGTTTTATTGTTACCTTCTCCATTGATTCTGCTTGTTGCAAGCCAGTTGTGAAGTACAGAAATGGTGTTCACAGGACTGTGGAGATGTTGCATGGCTTGTAAATATGAGGATTGGCAATAAAGTTACTTCTTCAGTGCTGTCATAACTTTGAACAATCATTAAATGATACATTCAGTAAGCGAGCACTACATGTAGTAGCAGTAATGTCAGAGGAAGAGCAGGACCAGAAGGATGTGGTTGTTTTTAGGAGGTAGCTCTGGAAAATATGGTAACTCCATTTAGTCAACAGATTTGGAGGTACTCTGGATACTTTGGGTCAATTTTTCAGAAAAAAAAAAGGAGAAGCTGGAATCTTCATAATTGCAAGGCTATTTGCCTCTTTGGGTTAAGATGTATTTCCTTTTATTTTTATTTTTATCTTATTAACATTGAACTCTGTGCTTAAAGAAGATGCTTACACGTCTGTGCTGTAGAACTGCTCCATTATGGCAACTTCTCACATCTCAGTGAGACAGTTGGGTAGCTGAAGCCAGCAGAGAAATGGCATCTCATTGGTTAATTGGCAGGGAAATTGAGAGTAAGGGCAGTGGGCACCCTTCCCCCAAACACACAATTAATCTTTAATGAGGTGCCCTGAGCTACTTTTGGACTGTGAGATTGTCTGAGTTTAACTTACAAATGATGCAAGGCTGTGGACATAATTCTTTTTCTCTGCCTCTCAAGAAAACACAACTTGGGAAACAAGTTTCTCTTTTCAAGTTGACAGTTCCCTATCACAAAAGCTCTCCTACTGCATTAAAAAGCTGATTAAATTGGAATAATTGGTATTCATAGGAGCAGCCAATGAAGAAAATGAGAAGGGGGGGAATCGCTACATTACAGTGAATGTAGAAGGGGGGGGAATCGCTACATTACAGTGTAGAAAATTACTTGGAAATAAGAAAGACTCCACATTACTGATCTTCATCTTTGCCTCTTGTTTAAAGTTATAAATAAATATAATAACTTGAAAATCAGTTATTTCAGCCACAATTTGAAATATGGTAGTTAGGGGTATTGTTGGCACTTTCTTGTATGTTATTGACCTTTTAAAGCTACTTATTTGGCACTTGAGATAAGAGTGAGTGGTTTGACTGGCAGTAGGAGAAAACAGTGATTT